GAATTATCTTTTGCAGGCCTCAAGACTCGACCGCAATTCTGCGCTCAAATGATGGACTCCAATCCCTGAGCGAACGCTCGTCCTGGTGGACTTTGCGACACTCCTGCGGCATGAATAGATCCAGCTCCACATCCTGACCATGCAAGGATATTGCCCCGCGCGAAAGCACGGAAATCCTCACTGGCGCAATCGGGTAACCTGCCGATGATTGGGCCAACTTTGCTTAGCGACGATGACTCAAAGGCAACAACAGCCACAACCCACCAAGCACTTCGCCGAGAACCGCCGAAACAGCTCACCACCATCATCATATGATAGCCCCCTCGCACCCTAAAGAAAGATCCTGTTAGGCTGCCGATGATGCGCCGCAGTGGAGGTTTCAAGCTTATTCCCTTGTTGCTCCGGGAGGCTGAGCTGTAGGCAGGCAACGACTCGCCCCAACCAGGTTCACTTTAGGTAATCTTCTGTCAGCAGATCGCATTCTAGATGAGCTATGTAAGAGTTGATCACGATGGGAAGAACTTGGTTGGTTTCAGCGAAAGTGTCTGCCTATTTCATATCTGCCTCGTGTCCCAACAATGCATGACCGTTTGACTAGAAGTCGGATAAGAAATGAATGAATGTCTGTGAGGCAGGCACCGCTCACCATTGTTTCATACTCGAGGGCACCCACCAGCCACCTGCCCTGTAAGTGAGCTGATATGACGGCTGTAGAGTTCAGTAAACAAATACTGCCTCTGCAATGTCTACCGCGTCTGCGGTGGCATTCCACAACCCAGGCACGACAACAAAGGCGGGCCTAAGTGCCCAAACCGTATATTCAATGGTTGCGTGGGCTGGCGAGTGTCTTCGGCATTTTGAATGACATCTTTCCCCGTGGTGCAATATCTCAGTACCATGGATCTGACGTCGATGCCGTTCTCCCCATACATTTGTTGATTTGGCCCGTGGAGACTGATGCTATGTCGTTACAAAGTACCAACAAAGGCTCTACAACGGGAGGACGCATCAGGCAAGGTGCCAAAAAAAGGGGGAATCAAAGCGGTACAGATACTCAGGAAATCGACATAAACAGCATCATGATGGAGGGTTTGGCACTGTCTGACGCTCACTCTGCGTGGAACAGATTGTTATCACGGGCTAGAAATGTTTGGGTTAACCCCCAAAGTTGACATAAGAACAAAAGAGTTTCCGCGTTTCAAATTGGCACTTTTGCTTAATAGATTACCTGGCGTTCTGGTGATGATCAAGGCGAAATGGCAAGGGTTTGAGAATACAAAACGAGGATCCTATGGTACAACGTCGAGAACAACTGGCAGAAAAAGTGATTGACGAGCACGAGCACGAGCGCGAACGTATGAACATGAGAATGCGTGACCAGGTGTACATAGAAGTTGGGATGGCATCCTGAAATGCCCTTGAGTGGTGTAGGACGGAATAGACCCAAGTCCTGATGACACTCATCAGGATCGTGCGCACTGCTGCTGCCTCACAAGCCATGGTGACCTCGAAAGGAATAACACGAGTACTTTTTAGCAAACCTGTGTCTAGAACGGCCTTTGATCAACGTGTTCTTATCCTCGTCGGAGTGGCGATGCTTGAGGAGAAGCACATGGTCCCTTCCCCCTCGAAGACCTCCATTGCATACAGAGCCATACTTCAGTTGAAAAGTTTGACTGCCATAGACAAGCATCAAACACCAAAAGCGACGACGGAAAGACAATATGATCATGTTTCGAAAGGAGCGCTTTGTTGACGAGTCGGAGAATCTCGGACTCGGGAAACCTCGTATTGCTTTGTCATCTCCGAAGTTCGGTCTTGGCGCTATGATGAAGGCTCCAAAACAAAAACCTCGAGTCTGGAAAAGGACAGGCGGTACCCATAGAGCCCGAGTGAGGCACCTCCTCCATCCCTTTGCCCGGTCATTCTGAGAGTCCAATATGCTCTCGCGCTCACTCTTCTCCTCAACACAAGCGCTGCGATCGCTACGAGGACCAGCTACGAAACATCCGACTTCGTCGATCCTATGCACCAAAAGCAATCAATCTTTCTTACAGCGTCTCAACATGGTACGCAACTCTCTCAATCGGGCACATTCCAATCTCTGGAACCGTTATCAAGAATGGAGCGCTGACACATTCTGGCAACAGTCTACACGAACAGAAACCGATGCCTTCGGTGAAGTACAAGTCGAATCAGACAGGTACTGGGGAGCGCAAACGGAGCGCTCGCTGGAGAACTTCAAGATCAATCAGCCTCAAGATCGAATGCCCCCACCCGTTGTCAGAGCATTCGGCATACTGAAGGGAGCAGCAGCGACCGTGAACATGCATTTTGGGCTCGGTAATTCCGTTGTCGATCTCAAGAAAGACTTTAGCTGAGCGCCATCAAGATCCAAAGCTTGGAAAGGCAATCCAGCAAGCGGCCGAGGAGGTTGCTTCACTAAAGCTCATCGATCATTTCCCTCTCGTGGTATGGCAGACTGGCTCAGGGACACAATCGAATATGAACGCCAACGAGGTCATCTCGAATCGTGCCATTGAGATACTAGGGGGCACAATGGGCTCGAAGAAGCCCGTACACCCCAACGACCATGTGAACATGTCCGCTTCCTCCAACGATAGCTTTCCCACCGTCATGCACATAGCCGCCGTCCTCGAGATCACCGAGTCCCTTATACCCGCAATGGAAAGCCTAAAAGCAGCGCTACAAGCCAAGAGTCAAGACTTCGAGCACATCATCAAGATAGGACGCACACATCTACAAGACGCTACGCCCCTAACCCTAGGCCAAGAATTCTCGGGCTACGTCGCGCAATTGGAACGAGGCGTGGAGCGCGTGCAAGACACTCTACCTCATCTTCGGCTGCTTGCCCAAGGAGGAACAGCAGTTGGCACAGGTATAAATACATTCGAAGGTTTCGCCGAGGCCATAGCAGAGGAGATCAGCAAGCTAACAAAAGCCGAATTCAAGACTGCACCAAACAAGTTTGAGGCTTTGGCTACACACGATGCGATTGTCGAAGCCTCAGGGGCCCTGAATACGGTAGCGACTTCACTGTTCAAGATTGCGCAGGATATTCGCTATCTAGGTTCTGGCCCTCGTTGCGGGCTGGGAGAGTTGAAGCTTCCAGAGAACGAGCCTGGTTCATCCATCATGCCTGGGAAGGTCAACCCTACACAATGCGAGGCATTGACTATGGTGTGTGCTCAAGTGATTGGGAACCATACAGCCGTGACTATTGGCGGAATGAACGGCCAATTCGAGCTTAACGTCTTCAAGCCTGTCTTGATCAGGAATTTGCTCCACAGCATCAGGATCCTCAGCGACAGCATGAGGAGTTTCGAAAAGAATCTTGTCGCAGGTCTAGAAGCTGACGAGGACAGGATCAGTACACTTTTGCACCAGAGGTAAATTTTAGCACTCCTTGGTGCAGATTGACTCCCGGGCTAATGATGATGACGCAGCCTGATGCTTGTTACCTGCTTGAATCCGGTGATTGGTTACGACGCAGCCTCAAAGGTCGCAAAGAATGCCCACAAAAAGGGCTTGACGCTGAAAGAGAGTGCCATGGAGCTGAAGGCGTTGAGTGAAGAGGACTTTGACAAATATGTGCGACCAGAACTGATGCTGAGCCCGAAGCACCAGGACTGAACTAGATGCTCTTTGTTGGATACAATTTCCTTGAATTTGCTTGAGACTATTGCGCAGCGGATTCACAGCCTCCCATGACAGCAGTTTGTAGCGATACCACCTGTAAATAACTCTTTCAGCATTACTACCGAAAACATCTTGTTTTCACATCGATTTGAGCAACAACCCGGAAACATCTGTCCTTGACATTCATGACTGCTTTGTAAAGAGCGTGTATCAAGTAAAAAGTCTTCTCGCCAACACTGTCTTATCAAAAGTTTTTACCACTCCGACCGCCACCTTTTTCAGCACCTTGCCTGCGCCTAGGCTGGCGATGTTTGCTCATACGTGACAGCCTCGCCGATTCGGTCGTGACCCAAGCCCACAGCAGTGAGACATTGGACAATCCGAGTAGAAGGTAAGGTAAATACATAATAGTAGGAGGATACACGAAAAGTCCAAACCCGGGCGAACGTTTTTACGCCCTGTGCCCGGCAGCCTTTTTCCTCGTGGAAGCCCCGTGAGTGGTATTCAAAGTCCGCGGCACTCAAAACCTCAAACAGGCTTAGCGCTCCATGCCGCCAAGGCGCTAGAGAAGCTCGCGCTTGCTTGATGAAGCGAGCCTGTAACGCAGAGACGAGAGGGATAAGATATTGAAACGCGGGGGATGAAAGAGGTAAGGACGGAGGGTAGATCGAAAGTGGGATTGGCGTTGCAGGTAGTGAGTACTATAACGATGGCAAAAGTCAAGACTGAGGAGATCGATAATACACAAGCGATAGATTCCGATATTATGACAGAACGGATTGGTGAAGGTTAGCGAGAGTCTTCTCCGCAGTACCATCCCTCAAGACCTGAACTCCGATAGCCCTACTCGCGCTTTCAGCCGCTATCCTTGCCGTTGCTGTAATAACGACGTTCTCATGTGGAACATGCTGGTTGCAAGCACCTCACGAGAGACACCTGGCGTGGGAGGAGACGGCGGACGGATCTAAGGGGAATTCTGAGTACGCCTGACACGTTTATCCATCCTTATTTTAATCTCAGTGTTACCGGATGAAGACACGTTTACAGTTGTAGCCTTTGGGCCTGACCGCATCTCAATCCTGAAGGTCTGAGTCTGGAGTACTTGCGTCTTCCCGAACAACACAAGCCTTTGTACAAGGGAATACCTATGTTCCCACGAGCGAGCCAATGAATTATGTCACCAGTCCTACAGCGGAGGAACTTCAACCCCATTGAGAGGCATATTCTGCAGCAGGAGAAGAAGCACTGCCCAATTTTGCTTACTACTTTGGTTTTTGCCATTTTGCCACTAGTCTCGTTCTTCGATGAACGTTTGCCCAGTCATCCTCTTTTTGTCTAAGATGGCTACATGCTTCTTTTGCTCTCCGAACATCCTCGCCTCGCCACCGTTTGTTTCCTGTCTTTTTGCCGAGGCGGGTGCAGGCATAACAGGGGAATTGTTGACGACCTACTTGCCAGGGCTGGATGACGCCCCACAGGGTTATACACCTACCCGATTCCAAAGGACACAAGTTACTGCGCCGACTGCTACTTCCTACCGGAATCCACGAGTATCCTCTCACGGCTCGGGAAAGTCAACGTAAGTCAAGAACGTTTATACGCGTCTTCATCAAGCGAGGATTGTTGATGTATACCAAACAGTACCACAACCGCATCCGTGGTTTTCACAGGCTTTGCGTTAGCATTCGAGGAAACTGATGGCGATGGACAATGTTCCACATCTCTTCACAGTGACTACTCTTCGGTTTACGGCAAGCCTGTGCCGGAGTTTACGATCTCCTTCTCAGCAGGGCTTTTCTTTGTCTGCCCAAAAACGGCTGGACGAGCTCCTCGTCAATGGCTCATCTTTGCAAAGCAATCGGCACCACGACCAGTATCGCTGGGCTCGTTCACGGCTGATTGAGATTTTTCAGAGGCAAGTACCATGCAGTATTCCATCTGTACTTCTGGGGTCGAGTCACAACATCGTTTACACACCCGCATTAGTTCGAAATTCTGCTCAGCTACGCTTGTCAGTCGTCGACTACATGTCGATCAAATGCATGCTTTTCAACAAAACATTTGGAAACCTTGCAGAATACCAAGACATTTATACTGCAGCGTCTGATGAGCTAGACACCTGCGTGGCCAAACACCTACTTCAAGACCCTGATATGAGCGATATGTCACGGTCGGCAATTTTTCACATTCATGCTCAAGTGAGAAGCCTAGTGACTTGAAAAGAAACGCCCAAGGGAAAAGAAAATGACGGGGTGAACTCAGACCCGAAATCAGATTTTGAACCTTGGGAGCAGCACGCATCTGTGAAAAGGATCGAGAACTAACATCCCAGCGTCGAAAGTCAGTCTGTTACCACTTCTGACATGCTTTCTGGGGCGCATGACCCTTCCTGTAATGATAGACAAGGCATATGTAGCCGATTCGCCAGGCGCCCTGGAAGATATTGATATTCTCGACGACAGCTTTTTTGTGCTAGCAGCGAAATTGCCGCGTTGGATCCACCGTTAAGAAAACTGTACGAAGCACGAGATCGATTGCACCAAGGACTTGCATCCTTTTATCATGCGCTAGACATTGAAGCAGATGGGTAGCTTTCAGCGTCTTACAGAGATCTCAGTGACGTGAGCGAATTGATCAAATCGTATGATGGGATCTGAAAGCGTATTGGATTAACCATTCATGCTCGAGCGGCAGCAGGACTGAGTATGCCGTAGGCGTAAGTGCCTCTTGCTCTCAGCTTGGCAAAGGGTTTCATACAGAGAATATCGTAGACTGAGTGGATTGCGACTTCTCTCTGCGCGGGCTGTGATTGAAGGCTTACTATCGATGCCAACAATCTAGTTTTCTAACTACTTCTCCGGATCCTTGCCACGCCGGGATCAGCCGACAAGATTCGCGGCGAGACGAAAACATTCTTCCAAGCCGAGACCGCTCAGCATGGTACAACACGACGAGATCTTGAAACCAGCAGAAAGGGAGTATGGCCCGATTGCGCCCGCTACTGAAGGCTTGCCTTTGAGACTTTGCGGCTCGACGTTGTGATCCGTTCAGCTAGGAAAATGAGGAGAGATAACCTCGTTCCGGAGAATGAAACGGCGTCGACCTCTGCGTTCAAGCTCAAATCGGGAGACTATCTTCACCATAGCGATCCCTGTTATTCCGAGGAGCCAGAAGTCTTCAATCCGGAAATATCTTTGGTTCGTGAGAGTGGCTCTGTGGAAGTCGGCCAGGGGAATTTGCGTCCAAACGAGGCAGGCTTTTCGATGTGCAAGGGAAGGGTTATTGCCGAGAGGATATATCTGCATTGGGTAGCTGGATTTTTATATAACTGGGAGATCGAGCCTAGAGACGCCGGTTGGAAGATACCAGGTCATATCAGTGCTGCTGGAGTCTGCAAGCCCAACAGGGATGTTTGGGTCAACATATTCGGCAGAGTTGAAACAAGAAACCAGAAAATAAAGGCCGAGCGGCCGAGTAACAAGCTTAGCAAGAAGTGGGTGTGATGCGTAAGTCGTGATTGTCTACAGATTTGGGTGGGGAAAAGATCTACCAGGCCGGATGCAATGGATGTCAATTGAGATACATACATTTTTAGCTAAAGCTAGGGATTGTCCGCATTAAAAGACTGGCGGCAAAATCCTGCAGGTCGCCGATGCTTGATTAACGCTTGTTGTCGAATAAGAGGTGATGGATCATGTTTAGAACAAATCTCAATTGGTCCCCAAGTCCATGCGAAACGATAGGGCCACTGCTGCACGACCTAAACACGGTCAAAACAATATAATAGGTTAGCGAACACGGAGGCTGAAGCTAAGTGTGTGGCAAGGTCTTTTCGTATCGACCCTTGACAGAGACCCGTATATGTTCTAGTCTTATTTTGGGTTTGCAACGATCCTCTACGGAGGTCAGCACCAAAAAGTCCTGAACGCTCCCACACCTGTACCAAATCTCGGATAATACCCCGCCTAGAGGGTTAGCTGGACAACGAGGTCTGCTTCGGAGTTGCGTCTGACCTGAACCCAGTTTGGGGTTCATTAGGTCCCCACTACTAGCGCCCATTCCCTTATCCCTTCTGCTGATTGGCAATGGCATCCTGTAGTCGTGGCATATAGTCCACAGTATACGCACTATCCACAAATTCATAGAATTTTTCCACCTTGCGCCCATCCTCAGTCATATGCAGAATAAGCGTATAGTCATTATTGTATGGCCCCAGCGCAGTCGTACCCGTGCTGGACGCATGCATAACCATCTTTCGAGCTTCTTCGTCCACAATGGTGTCATGAACTGTCACATCGAAGTCTCTGAACGCGGACATTATGGGGACGAAATAGGTGGCATATTTTTCGTTGTTGAGGGAGAAAGGAAAGGATATAGTGAATGCAGTCGCGTGCTCGATAGGACATTATTGACTCGGGTGTCCAGATGTTGTAGCCTTCGATGGCTGACAGGGGCCGTGGAGGAGAGTGTCGCGCGAGACATTATGGTTGTTGCGCTCTGATTCAAGTCAGAGTAATTGCTGAAGTAAGGATTTCTTGCCAGCAGAATGAGCAGATGGGGTAGCTCGGTAGGGCTGAAATCGGCAAGCAGTAAAGTAGTGGCACGCGTCTCGTCAGTGTAAAGCGGCGCTTACGCTAGGCCTGGTAGGTGTTGAGACAGGCTTGGCAGGCGCGTCCCCAAAATTCAACTCTGCAGAAATATCGTCTCCATTGCTGAAGCTTCTCGGTCCAGTCAAATAGGATGCCTACGGCGATCACGCCTCGTAGGCGATCGCGAGACGATTTAGAAACTGATGAGGAAGGTAGCGCTTCTCCAGACCTCATCCCCTCCTCACAACCGGAGTTACCCAGCAGCAAGAGAGCCCGCCTCACTAATGGCAACGCGTCTTCTTCGCTGAGCGGCACCCCCCTCACCAATGGGCTCCGTCCTCAGTCCAGCATGTTGCAAAGAGAGACGCTGCGAGCGCAAGGTTCGCAGAAGAAGTATCAACCTGGATCCATTGTACGAGTCGAGCTCAAGAACTTCGTTACGTACACCGCTGTGGAGTTTTTTCCAGGACCGAGTCTAAATATGGTCATTGGGCCTAATGGCACGGGAAAGAGTACATTGGTATGCGCGATATGTCTGGGATTGGGGTGGGGACCGCAGGTGAGTCTACAGGAGGATATAATCCGACAGAACGAGGCTGACGAGCTATAGCATCTTGGCCGAGCCAAAGAGGTATCCGAGTACGTCAAACATGGATGTCAAGAGGCTATGATCGAAATCGAGCTCGCAAAGGATGGGAAGTGGTTCAAGAACAACGTAGTCATACGTTGTAACATCAAGCGCGACGGCAACAAGACCGTCTTTTCGGTCAACGGCAAACCACAAGGCAAGAAAGCGGTCATCGAGCTCTGCAGGTCCCTTTCAATTCAGATCGACAACCTCTGTCAATTTTTGCCGCAAGACAAAGTGGTTGAATTTGCAGCTATGACGCCAGTGGAGCTGCTACGGTCGACTCAGAGGGCTGTGGCGTCGCAGGAGATGATTGATATGCATGAGAATCTGAAAGACCTCCGGCGCAAGCAGAAGGATATTCAGGCTAAGAACACTGCTGATCAAGAGCAACTCGACAATCTTGAAAGCCGACAGCGGTTACAGGAGGCCGACGTCGAACGCATGCGCGAGCGTGAGCTGGTAGAAACGCATGTCAAAATGCTGGAAGCCGCACGGCCGTTTGCGGCATATCGGAGCGCGAGGTCTGCCCATGGGGAAGCCAAGGAAAAAAGAAAGGCAGCTCAAACTGAGCTTACGAGGCTGGGAAAAGAGGTCGAGCCATCACTGCGAGCTGTCAATGCAAAAGAACAGTATAAGGCGCAGATTGCGGCCGTCGTGACGGAGCGGAAGAATGCCACCAGCAAAGCCGAGCGACACGCCGACGCCATTGATAAGAAGTTTAAGGAGCTACAGGACAAACATAACGAGCTTGTGGCCGCTGATTCGGCGGAAAAGAGCGGTGGTAAGAAACATAGACAGGAGATCGTCAGGCTTGAGGGCGCCTTCAATCAATTGAAGAGACAGATGGAGGTGGAGCCTCCAGAGCTGGACGTTCAGGCGTACAACAGACGCATACGCGAAAAACGCGATGCCGTGGACGACAGCACGACCAAGATTGGAGATCTGAAGAGACATCAAGAAGAGCTGAGACGGCGCGGCGTGGACAAGAATCATCGAATCAAGCAAGCCGAAGACGATTTGGCCCAATTAGACTCTCAGGCTGGAAAGCAGAAGTCCAAACTCCAAAGTATATCACGCGACGCATACAGACTATGGGAATGGGTACAACAGAATCAAGATCAGTTCGACAAGCCTGTCTTTGGACCGCCAATCGTGGAGTGCACAATTAAGGACCCAAAATACGTGGACCATATAGAATCCTTGTTCCACAAAGGTGTAATGATTCAATTTACCGTGCAGACTAGAGGCGATTTCAAGAAGCTATCAGATCAAGGCAGCGGCCGCATGGGTCTTTCCGATGTCAACATCGTAACTATACTACCAGGCCTCGATCCTTTCCGTCCACCAGTCAGTGCAGAGCAGATGAAGCGATTTGGTTTTGAAGGGTGGGCGTTGGACTACCTCAACGGCCCTGAACCTGTATTGGCCATGCTTTGCGCGGAGGTACACGTCCACGAGGCCGGTGTTGCCTTGCGAGACACCACGCCTCAGCAATTTGAGTTGTTGCAGAATAGTCCAATACAATCTTGGGTGACTAGCAAGTCGACTTACAGGATCACCCGTCGCCGCGAGTTCGGGCCTGACGCGAAGTCCACCCTAGTCAGAGATATCAGAAGAGCCAATGTGTGGACGGACCGACCAGTAGATCTGACAGCGAAACGGGAACTGCAAGAGAACATTCAAGGCTGGACGGAAGAAGTGGCATCGTTTCAAGCGGAATCCGATGCAGATCAAAAGAAGATCCTGGCATACCGAAATGCGATCAATACCAATAGCGAAGAAGGCGTATGATTGTCTCCAGACCGGAAACGAGGAACACTGTTGCTGACCTTTTCGTGCAGAAAGCGATCTCGGCCGAAAAAGAAGCTAAGCAAAAAGCTCTGGGGGAGTTCAAGGCCGTTCCAACGAAGCTCGGTATGTCATCCAAACCCTTGGCCGTTCTACTCTAACCTCCAGATAGCTGCCCAAGAGGCAAAATTGGCCACGGCCCAAAATGCTCTTAGTGGTATCAGAGGGCGATTGAGAGAAATCATGGGACAGCAAGAGACTATTGCATTGGAGAGAGGCGAAGTAGCGTTGGATTATGCGGTGTGTTTCCTAGAGTACCAGTGTAAGGACAATTCTGATCAGGTACACAGGACGCTGTCGAGGCAATCAGAGTCGCCCACAACAACCTCCATGAGGCCGAGATCATGCTCATAGAAGCGACTTCCGACTGGGAAATCCTCAGAGAGCGAAACAGCTCCGTGCAAGAGCTTCTCGAAGACCAACAGCGCCAAGTCGATGCACTGGTAAGAGAGACCGAAGCTTCGCAAAGGACAGCAAAAACCCTCCTCGATAAATGCAGCCAGCTCCTGGCCCGGGTCGACAACGAGCTCAGGAGTTTCCTCGTTGCGCTACCGGCGAACCAATCGACTGAGCACCTCGAGGGCGAAATAGAAAGCGAGAAAGCGAGGTTGGAGCTCATGCATGAGGGTAACGGGGGTGTGATCAAGGAGTATGAACAGAGGAAGAAGAAGATTGATGTTTTGACTGCTAGGCTTGAGGAGATCAAGAACGCCCTCTCTGAATTCGACGACAAAATCAAAGAGCTTAGGGATCAGTGGGAGCCAGAGCTCGACTCCCTTGTTGGGAAGATCAGTGACTCTTTCTCTCTGAACATGGAGCAGATCAGCTGCGCTGGCGAGGTTGGCGTTCACAAAGACGAAGACTTCGACCAGTGGGCTATACAGATCCGCGTCAAGTTCAGGTAGGTCCATGTTAACCCTGGCGCAAACTTGGCAACTGACTCTCGTCATCAGAGAATCCGAACCCCTAACAACCCTAGACTCCCACCGCCAATCCGGAGGCGAACGCGCCGTCAGCACAATCTTCTATCTCATGTCCCTGCAATCCTTAACCCGCTCTCCCTTCCGCGTCGTCGATGAGATAAACCAGGGTATGGATCCCCGCAACGAACGTCTTGTTCACAAACGTATGGTTGGCATTGCGTGCGGTATGCTTGATGGTGTGGCTCAGCATTCACTCGAAAACGGCCATGGAGAAGAAGAAGACGAGAAGGATGGGGTGGCAGGCCAAGGCAGGGGAGGGTCCCAATACTTCCTCATCACCCCCAAACTTCTACACAACCTGACCTACGAACGCGGCATGCGCGTCCTTTGCATCGCTTCTGGCGAGTATATGCCTGAGGATCGCTCGAGGGTGGATTTCAAGGGGTGTGTGAACCTGATGAGGGGACTAAAGGCGGGGGCCATGGCTGCTGCCGCCAGATGAGCCGGCGGTGTCTACCTGGCTGCTGGGCTGAGCGACGCGAATTGGATTAGGCGACCTGTTGCCCTGGTCGCGGAGGGATGGATTTGTGTATATATTATGCGAGTTGTCAATAAACGTGGCCGTCGAAGGCGTACAAATTCCTTAACATACCAACGCGATTAGCATCGAGGGGTCATTTCGATTTCTTAATCTTTGACTTATGGATGATACCCAACCTAAACGCTAAGAATCCAATTCCATCTGGAAGAGATTTGAAGCGTGGACGACGACGACAGTGACGTTGGGAATGGTACCCTATTCCGACATTCGTCGCAAATGATCAAGACTGAAGCATGTTCAAGATCAATACCATGTTCATGGGAATGACATCTATTCCACTGCGACTCCCAAAAACGTCAACCTGGCAGTAATTTCCATTTTCAAAATCCACTGACGATGTTCATGGCTAATTATGCAACGCCATTACAAAAAGGGAAGTGGTAGCGAAGAGCCACCGCTCTGAAAGATTCTTTCATATTCGAGCGCACCTTGTCAGATATGTATGTATGTATGTAAGCCCACTGCTGCAAGACGATGTGCAAGGCGACGACGGTAATAGCCGACGACGGGATCACGCGGGAACACAGCCTCGGAAGCGATCGAAAAGTGTTAGTTCACATCTTACACTGTCGGCGGAATACCTCATGTGTAAATCCTCAGCTCCCGACCGACACGTCCGTCCGCCGCAAGGCCCGTATGCTGATCCCAATCCATGTCCACCATACATACATACGCCCGCTTTGGAAAACCCCCCTATCAATCCATCTCCACCACCTCGGTCCACCCCGCCCCGCCCTTCTCCAAACACTCATGATCATCAAAACGACAGCTCCCCTTCCCATCACTCGTCCCCAGTGTCTCAAGCCACGATGTCGCCGAACCGGGCTTCCGGGCCCGTCTCCCACCACTGCTGCGAGGAGTCGGAGACTTGTTGTTGCAGCGCTCGCAGGAGCGCTCGACAGAGCTGCAGTGGTGGCCGCGGACGATAAGGCTGTAGATGGGGCGCATGGTGGGCAGGCTGGCGCTGACGTTGCCGATGGAGTTTTCGACAATGGCCCAAATGATGGGGTCGACGTCGGCCCCTGTGGTTGTCAGGTTGGATTGGTGTGAGTGGGGGGAAAGCAGGATGGGGGGTAGGGAAGGCGTGGGGAACGTACAGCTTGCGTCTTGGTGGGAGAGGCGCTTGACGATGATGGTTCGGTATGTGCTGGCTATGCAGACGCTTTCGTGAGGTTTGCGGGGTCAGCGTGGTGACGCTGGGAGGATTGGAGGGAGAGCGAGCGCTGGTGAGGGACGTACAAGCCGCTTAAGAGGAAGATGCCCACTAATTGGATCTTTCGATTCCGCTCCATGTGCAAGTTCCAGATCAACGGTATTGGCAGCAGGAAAGTAACGACATCCGAGATTACATTGAGAGAGCCGGGTATGCAGGCTGCTAAGAGAATGTTCACGCAAGAGCCTTCGACATTCAAATCCCAAGCTTTGTGCACGGGTGTGCATTGAAAGATGGAGAGGAAGACCTCGGCGATGTTGTTGGCAAGGATTACAAAGGCGAAGCACCAGAGGAAGGCGGTAAAGCGAGGAACGGAGCCGAAGATGCGGTGGAAGAGGAGGAGTGCGGAGTACTTGAAGGCGGCGGTGCCAATACAGTAGAGCACTTCCATTGCTATGATGGTCTGAAGGCTTTTAGAGCGGTTGGGGTGTGATAACGATCAAAAATAAGAATCAGAGATTCCGGAGGGGACCCATGTCCATACCTTAGCGTATGCTGCTGGGTCTTTGAGGAGAATGACGTGTTTTCCTGCTCCAAGATGTACCGCTGGATACGGAGATGGGACTTAGCGACCTAGTTGCAGAAAATGATGGCCATGTCAGAGTCTGAACATACAGTAAAGGCACGCAGCGACCTGACCCATGCATATAATCTAGAGAGAATAATCAGCCAATCGAATGATCCAGATCCCTCGGCTCGTGTTGTTCCTGGACAAAGCTCTGTCGGCTTACCAGGGCGAAGAGGATCATGTAGTCATCGGCAAGTATTCTCGCTTTGCTCAGACGGCGAGCGAGCAGGCGTAGAAGTACTGCGGTAATGGCCAAGGAAATGCATATTGCAGCAGAAATAACAACGTTGGGTGCTCGATTGTCATGGATGTGTGCGAGTTCATATTCGATCTCGGTTGATGAGAGGAGACTCGGCATCTTGACGTGGCAGCAGTTCCCAGCGAAAGCGTGGAGATGGACAGCTGTATGAGAGGACTATTCCAAGCGCCAACGTCTTTGGGGGGGGCATCGTCGTATATCATAGAATACCGAATCAGGCCTCACACTCTCGCATAGGCCCTCGGTTGGAGATATGGAGACGGGATGTTTTTGTCATCTCCTGCGCTCGCGTAGACAGCCATTGATATTATTAGGTGCATTCGTTACAGAGGAGGCAAGCAATGAAGGACCTTCCCCTGAAGTCCTCAGTAGGGAAGTACGGAAGCTAATGTAGAGACGGTACGGATCCCCCAGCATGCCATCAATTACACTAAGGCACGCCAGTCTGTTTCGTTGCACAATAAGGCCATTTTGGAAGTTATTAATGCTCTTGGTTCTGTGAAGCTGGCCATTATCAATGATTCCATCATATTCTTCATGTATTCATCTTGGTGAATATGATGCAAAGACAGACTCAATTTGGTTGACATGAGTTGCAGTGCTTTGACCATGGCAGACCCTGTAACCTAGGCTGCATAAGGTACCACCATACTTCAGTTGTACATTACATTAGCTTGCGGCCATGCAAGCGCTAGCAGAATTAAGTAGGGTCTTGGAGAAAATGAGAATGGGGAAATAAGATTCACATCAACATGGGGATATTGACATTCTATAGCTTCTAGCGCCGTTCCAGAACAACCTGCGGTTCGAATATTACGTCCAAATTATTGGGAACGTGTACAGCCATCATATGTCAACGTGCAGGGACCCATTGTGCTTTTTCTGTTAGCGACCTCATGATAGATTGGTTTTGGTTCTGTCGCTGCTATGCTCATTGCCAACCATGACGGTGGGCTCTGGTCAACGATCATTTCCTCAGAGTAGAGAATTGTGCAAGCTTCGGATTCAGAATTCCACTGCTACAACAAGTTAGACGACGATGACGCTCGGGGTTCTGTCGACTGTGCCGAGGGGAATCCATGGGACGATGAATACTTGGGATTGGAGGAGACGAATTTTGAGGTTCGAGAGTACAATGTCATCCTAGGTAATGGGAGTTTGAGTTTTTACTTCTTGAATGGATGTCGTGCAAGGCAACGCTGAGGACTAAAGAGCAATGTTGATGTCCACGTCTTTATGCTGTTTGCTCGACCATGATGGGATATCATCCTACAAATTTTCGTGGAGGGAACACATATCATTGGACTCTCTCAATCAGTAAGGTTTTGCAACTGTTCAGTTGTCAAGGTAGTCGTATGAGATGATGAATGAATAGAGGGATTTGGTAGGGAAAGCTGTCCAGAATTTCCCCTGATCAAGCCAGCGGCTGCGGCTGCGGCTCCTTCCCTGTCGTCTTCTAGGCGTCGTCCATCATAGACGCTGAGACGGCATTGCAGTACCGCTTCATCAATCACATTGATTTATAGGAATAATGTCAGCATATCACACATCTATGTTGGTAGCTGGAAAGTGGGGATGATGAAGAGCCCCCTTTTGGCCGAAGCCATTCCCGGCTTTGCCGGACATCCACCTCAACAATGACGTAACGAATTCATGTCGCCAACCAAGCCCTCAGGATAGATTCTCTTGGGCTCTGGGATCTGTATAGCTACCACGGCCCAGGCACCTCCCTTTCTACTCAATGGACGCGGTCAAAGACTCCCTAACCCAGGGCTACAACACCGCCAAACGCGCCCTTTCCACCGCCCCTCCAAATGATGCCTATCTTCACTGGGATGCCCCAGGCGTGGAGGAGATCAAGCCGGACGAGGAGGCCAAAGCCCAGCAGATTGCAGACACCATGAATAAGATGCAGAAGCACAATTTCGACAAGGTCAGCCAGCTCTACCCTACAACCACATCCTACCCCAGCACTAATAGTCAACAGCACCGTCACGCCTTCCGCGCAACTCACGTCAAAACCCAAGGCCTAGTCAAAGGTACCCTGACCGTCCCCTCCGGCCTCCCCCCTCACCTCTCCCAAGGACTCTTCGCGCACCCCGGCACCTACCCCATCGCCTCCCGCTACGCCAACGAGCCCGTCTTCCTCCAATCCGACACCGAACCCGGCCCCCGCGGCATGGCTATGAAGATCTTCAACATCCACGGCGAAAGACTCGAAACCCCCGGCAATAAGAGTCTCTCAACGCAAGACTTCTTCTTCAACAATGCCCCTATGATCGAACTGACTGACATAGACACCTGTCTCGAAATCATGCAGTTGCGGGAGAGATACTTCGACAATCCGAACGGGTTGGCGATGGCGCTGAAGTTGAGGACGGATATCATCAAGCAGCACGCGCCGGGGATGCTGCCGAATACGAACATGATAAGCCATTCGATGTATACGCAGTCGGCGTTCAGGTTCGGGGAGTACTACGGGCACATGGCGATGTTCCCTGTGCTGCCTGAGATGAAGGAGAAGGGTGGGGCGGCTGTGTTGAGCTCCGGGTCTTACACGCAGATTTCGGATTGGCTGTTTGATTACTTCAGGGGTGCGCCGGCGAAGTATGAAGTCAAGATCCAGCTGGGCACCTCGCCTGCGCATCATCCGACTGAGGATGCGAGCATCGTATGGGACGAAGTGACAGCCCCGTACCAGACGATCGGGACCGTGGAGTTTCCGGTCCAGGACAGTTTCAGCCAGGCACGGAGGGTGTTCTGGGAAGACCACATGGTGCTGGATCCATGGAGGGCATTAGCGGCCCACAGACCGTTGGGGAGTATCAATCGGCTCCGCAAGGTGGTGTATGCGAGGAGTCAGAAGAAGAGGGATGAGTTGAATGCGAAGAAGTCGTCGAATATTCAGAGTATAGACGAGATGCCTTGAGCGATTTATTAACCTTGTTTGAGTGATTTATAATTTTAGATATAATAGCATCAACGTTCTTCAGTCTTAAAACAACATGCCACAATTGACAATGCTGTGGATCCACTAATGAGCCATAACGCGAAACCAAATGATAAGTGATTACAGCACAAGCTCTATATCTGCAAACACCCCTTTACTTAACCCAACGTGAGCTAATCAGAGACAGGCCATGTTGTAAAGCAACTTATTAAAGAGCGCCCAGCTTCCACGCCACCACCAACCCCCCCACCGCATTGAACCAGCCCCCGGTGCAGCCTCACCAATCCACCTAGCCCGTCTGAACTAGACAAGACGAGATCCAGATTCCGCGGCTATACTCAGCTGCTCTACCTTGGTCCTCTCGACCCCCTCTCTCGCTTCTGCCCCTCCGTCGTATCGGCAACTGAAAGTACACTAGTCTTTGCCAAAAATCGAGCAAAGCCGGAACGCGTCCACGGTTATCCATCTCGAGAGCGCAGGGCCGAAACCTGACACCACGACCCAACGGAACTATTTATGAAGGAAGGAAGGAAGGAAGAAAGAAAGGAAGGAAAGGAAGGCTCCCGTAGCGAACACACCGCCACAGCTAACAGCAGAGCTACCAGGCTCCGTCACTTCGGCATGACACACTTCGAAATTCGGATAACGACTCACTCAGACCCCTTTCCCATACGTAGGGTCGATGTCGCTATCCGTCCCACATCTTCGTATTTCTCCCCGGCAGCAGCACCGGCACTCGCAGGTTCGGGCGCCAAACAGAAACGCACGACGCGTGACGTTTCTCGTCCTGGCGACATTGTCGTTGTGCTCTAAGTACGCCGTGTGGTATTGTCCGTCGAACCGTGTTGCTGAGATATCGTATCCTCGAGGGAGGTCCGACCGCTGCGGTGGATAAGGGTTGGGTGTGTTCGTCGTCGATGATGGATGGCGTGACCGGTTGAGGATCTCGATGACGGCCTCCCATGCCGGGAAGCGATTGCGTGACGGGGATCTCGACGCGGTGAAAGTTGGGCGTTTGGTGGTTGTGGGGAGAAGGGAGATCTGCAGCGTTCATGGCTAAACAGTGGATATTGGATGGTGCCAATTGCGCTTCAACTTTTGTATGTGTGAAGACTCGATCGTAAGTGTATAAGTGTAGGATGGTGGATCTGGTAGTCGTAATGTCTTCAAGCGATCAAGCGAAGGGAGAAACGTTGCGACTCCGCTCAGAGTTCGGATGTATGAGCCTGTTGGTTCTTTGCTAGGAAGCGATGCGAAGATTGAGACTCTCAGGGGCTGAGAAGGAAGGCATGAAGCAGAGAGGGAGTGTCATGTGACCGAGACCATCAAATTTGTGAAAGCCGGTAAGGTATGCAAGGTGGCATCACGCATCTGGGGAAACTAAAGGCAGCAAGACTAGTAGACTCGTAACGTATTTGGCAAACGAGATCAGAAAAGCGAGGGTCGGCCATCGTATACTTGGACATTTGCTAATCGCCGATCCGTGGGCGGGACTTGGGGTTCTGGCTCTGGATAGCGGACTGTGAGAATTGGGGGGCAGACAGTCGGCATTTGGACAAGGTGAGACTAGAATCCAGGGTCTGCTGCTGGGCGTTAAGATAATGGAGTCGTGAGAATGAGGGGTACGCGGTCGATTTTTTGATGGGCGTATATTGGAATTGAGGCTTTGTTGCTGCCGCTTGGCTTGTGGATGATTGCACGCTTGACTGGGGGATTGGGGAAGGCGTTTGGGTTTCTGAACAGGCGTTAGGAGAATCGAGGACTGGTGTTCGAGATTCTGCGTAGTAGGCACTCGTGCTGATATTCGGGTTTCTGTATAGCTGCAAAGTCAAGTTGTCGGTAAACCAAGCAGAGCGTACCGTGTCAGAGAGCGCTCGTAGGTGCAAATCTGGGTCAAAGGTGTGCTCATTGTTGTCATCTGCGATACTGTGCATTGTGGAAGTCAGATGCCTTGGAGACTCAGCAGCCCAGTACTAAACGGACAAAGGAGAGCTATGATACTGTAATCTCGTTAGCCGTGGAATGAGTCCTACCACGGCTTCGCATGGGTGCTGAATGCAATAGCATCGGCGCCTACACACTTATGGCATCCACACGAATTTGCAAAACCTCCTCGTTCGCGGTCCACTCCGTAGCTTTAGTGCAGTACATGAATCCCAGCTCATACTTCCCAACTACGTCAAAATCCAACGTTTGATAATTTCGGAGCCTCTTGCATCGTTGCAGATGTGGACGCATATTTCGGGCATAACGCTACTGTAGAAGTGCTCGCGGTTGGTGGCCGCGGCGACTCATATGGGGATGTTAGTGGCGAGGTAGCTGATGCGGCGTTTCCAGCTGTTAGAAAGGGCAAACTTGTAGAGGCCGGCAGGGACGCTCCGAATTTGGAGCATAAGGTCTTGGGACTCGCGTGCCAATGGATGCATGGCTTTATCATTAACAGCCCTTTTCACGCTGGTGCGTTCCTGTTGCTCAACCTTCCTCCTTCGACAAAGGAGCGGCGATGGATACTTTCACGCTCGGTTGACACAACAATGGCAATTGATCCGTAAGTCAAGCACCCGTCGAAGAGCACGGTCACACGGGAGAATATCCCAGGATCAGCGGGGCTGCGGATTCAAGCTTCACGTGCTAAGTTTCTCTGACATTCGAAATTCATTCGTCCTTTCCACTGCCGGCTCATTCTGGGATTCTAGGTACCTATTGCCAGGGTTGTCAGGCACCTCTCCACTGGTTGCCTTATGATCAGCCGCCGCGCTGAGCGCTGCCTCGACTGCCAACGTCGCTTGTATCATGCTTTCCTCGGTGTACGCCTCTTCGAATAATAAACGCTTTAGTTCATCTATCAATTTTCTAAATCGGTCGCCCAAAGACGGTTCCTTCAAGAAGAGCAATTCATTCTCTGCTCTGCCTACAGCTTCCCTCGCCCTTCTGACTCGCAACCAGAAGCCGTCGATGTCGTCTTGCAAGGACATGTTCGACAATGGAACCTGAAGAACCTTGACCAGTTCTAGGGTTTCAACCTTGTCCAGGTAGCGAGCCATTGCATTGAACTTCTGTTCAACCCCAGGGAAATGAACCAACGGGTTCCCCGGACCAATCTCCGATCGCTGGTCCGGTCCTTCATGAAAGCCGTTGTACCATCTCCTAGGTTGGTACATTACGTGCTCTTTGTACCCTTCGTGTGCAGGTACCCACGCCATGGCGTTTTGTTCCGTGTTAGGGACTAGGTTCGCTAATTCGACATCTGGTCTTAGTAGTGGAAGTCCCAGGTCACAAAGGCGGTACAAACCCCTTCGAGGAAATATGAATGGAAAGTCGATAGAGCTCAAAGCGCTGTACGGAGTATGTCACGACTGAGCTGGTGGACTTGAGGCACGGGTTGAGCGGCTATCGCATTTGTTGCTAGCATCGAGAAAAGCGTTCTCTCAGTCTCAGACATTTGTATCAATCTACTTATAGGCGCTCCTTCGGCCCCTGGGACTTTTTGTTTTGAGCCTCTTCTTCGGTTCAAAATTGTGAAAGGCATGTTTCGACGTCACCCTAGACTCATATCAATGACACACGAGCAAAAGGCTTGAACTACGTGACACCTTTAGTTACTAGAGATTACTTTGAGACTTCAAAATACCCTTCAGTGATAAGGTAGGGTCAGTGTGAAACTTCATTTTTAATATGATCCTGTATTCTGATGGATGAATGAAGGATCCGAGATGGTGGTGGTGGTGGCTCGATGCCGGTACACTTAGCGGGTCTTTGATAGGCGAAGAGCGCTAAGTGATTTATTCGGCTAAGTTGCTGCATGAAGGACCCTGCTCAAACTGTCCCTTCACATACAATTACTCTCATAAATTACCAAATTCGCCCGGCTTGTGACCTAAGAGTTCAATGAACTTGGAAGCTACCGACACTAAGGGTTACCATATAGGTACTAGACAATGTCACTCACGAGTGGTCGGCATTCTAAGGCGTAAGCACTATCAGATCATCTGATAATATTCATTAGGAAAAGCGTACATGCCCGGTCCGCAACCATGGCCTGTGATTGGTAGCTTGTTTAATATCCTACATATTGTCTTATCAGATCCGCTTTTTAGCTGCATGAGCCCGGCTAATTTTCCTTCCTCCATGCATATCCAAATCGTTGAGGCGTCCATAAACCCTCATCATTCGAGGACACTTGACCGCTACTCGAGCGCCTTCTTTAAACAGGCACTTAATCACTGTTAATCAATATGCAACGTCGTACTCGTAACGTATTGCAATCCCTCCGAGACCGGCACAATTTTTGGGCACCAGGACGTGATCCATGCCATCCGAGTGGCCTGATGGCAGCTCAGCGACTGTGCGAGCACGCAACCTGTGCTTCGATCAAGACCCTGCGTCGAGGCACCAGGAGACTCTGACTCATTGACCATGTCCGGTCATCCTCTACATAGGTCAGAGATGCCACATCCTCCCAATTGCGTCCATCTTCACCATTCTACTGTTTCCTCTACCGGATAATTTTACAAAAGGTACCCATGTGGTTTGTAACAACTGGAGAACTCATCCTGTCCTTTTCTAAAATCCTTTTCAATTACCGCTGGCTATAACAAGTCAAGCCATATCCAGAGACATCGGAGTCATGCATGATCTCCCGACAAACAGGGGGTATCCTACGACAGATATGCCCCCCTATGCCGGTAAAGTCCTCGCTGCCCGAAAGGAATCAGCGGTGTCTACAGCCTATGGTGCACCGTCAGCCGAGGGAATGGTAGCAATACCAGCTACAGGGTACGACGACCCGCCGGATGATGGACTGGTGGCGTGGCTCCAGGTTGCTGGATCTTTCTTCCTATTCTTCAATTCCTGGTATGACTTCCTTTCAATGCTAAAATGACTGGTCGCTATCATTTGAGGGCTCACATCCTTCGTAGGGGTACAGTGAACGCCTTTGGTGTTTTCCAGACATACTACCATATTGGGTTCCTCAGTGACAAATCACCCTCGAACATCTCATGGATCGGCAGCATTCAATCATTCCTGCTCCTCGTCATTGGCGTCATCACCGGGCCTCTATATGACGCTGGCTACTTCCGGGCACTCATCTTGACAGGCACATCTCTCATCGTCCTCGGCTTCATGATGACGAGTCTCTGCACTCAATATTGGCAGGTCATATTGGCCCAAGCAATCTGCATTGGACTGGGTCAAGGCTGCCTCTTCATCCCCTCTGTCGCCATAATCCCCCAATACTTCACCAACAAGAAAGCTTTCGCGACCGGACTAGCCTCATCGGGTAGCAGTCTTGGCGGCGTCATCTACCCTATCGTGTTCAGCCAATTGCAGCCCAGAATCGGATTTTCCTGGGCCACCCGTGTTCTTGGATTCATCTCACTGACAACCTGCCTGGTCTCGATCTCCGTCATGCGTGTCCGTCAGATACCGAAGCAGAGACGTTCCCTCGTCGAGTTTGCGGCCTTCAAAGAAACACCCTACTCCCTCTTCTGCCTTGCCATGTTCTTCTGCTACGCAGGAGCCTTTGGTCCAATCTACTACATCTCATCCTACGCTATAGATACTCGTGTCATGACGGCGCGTCTGGCGTTCTACCTCCTACCCATACTAAATGCGGCATCGGTTCCTGGCCGGATCATAACAGGTTTCCTTGCCAACACGATGGGACCTGTCAATTTGCTCATCCCCACTGCGTTGACCATAGGCATCATCGCCCTTTGCTGGATAGGTATTCACAGCACCGGTGGGCTCATCGTATTCGCGATCCTCTACGGCTTTTTCTCTGGCGGCGTTGTGTCCCTGCCATCGGTAGCTTTAACGAGCTTAACACCTGATCTAAGTAGGTTGGGGACGAGGATGGGAATGTGCTCTGTGCTTTGCAGTCTGGGAAGTCTTTGCGGTACACCGATCTCAGGCGCGATTCTGGATGGGACTGGGGGTTGGGTCGGGGTGGCATTGTTTTCTGGGTTTACACTGTTAGTTACTGGAGTGCTTTTTCTCTTCACACGATGGGCTCAGGCAGGGACGAATTTGAGGATGAAGGTCTGAGGAAGGCGAAAGAGAGGTGGACGGTTCGAAGAGCGCGGTTTGAAAAGGTCCGTGCACCGAATGCACAGCTAGAGTAAACACGAGCATGACGACCAATGAATTGAAAACATGGCATTCTGGGATCATCGGCTAAATCTCACGAAGAAAGATGTTATGGGATCATATTCGCCCCTGGGAAGGATTTGACGACGTGGAGTGCGACGAGTAAATAATATTGGCCGCGAGCCATCGCAGCAGGCTACCCAATTCAAGCCTGACAGATGCAAGGCGGCATGGTGCATATTGGGCGTCCTTATCTTTAATTCGTTTCCGCGACTCTATTCATTGCATTGCATGTGAGAGCAAAGACTTGACGTAAGCTGGTTCTCCAGCAGCAAAAACTCATCCACTCTGCTTTCAGACATCCCTCCAAAGTCCCAATATTGCAAGAACACCAGTGCGACAGTAGTAGTACTCTAGATAACGAAAAGTTCATAGGCGTGGGACTTCGCACAGATGGAAGCACGATGGACATCGGAGTCATGCAGGCACCCAGATCCCAGGGTTGCAACCAAAGATCCGGGGGCGCTTTCCCTATCTTTACGTTGCTTTTCACCAGGTTGACCAGGATTGCAGGATTTTGCAGGAGAATGCAACTTCATGGCGATGATGGCTGCAGCCTCCTGAGGGCATTATTAGATTGCCGGTCCTTATTACCTGCAGGGGGACTGCAATCTCATCAACATCGAGGACTCTGCAGCCCATGTACGTCCATCGTCAAAGATTGCCCCAGGCAACCGGAGACCACCATCTGTCATGGTGTCGGTAGCAATTATCATATATTAATTATCAACCCGCCATCAATCAGCTACCCATTACTCGTAGCTAGCGGTCACGCCGACGCGGCCACGCCGAGATGGACCGAGATGAAACGTGAGGCTCCACAATGCGGAAATCTTCTGCGGCTCTCTGTCTTGGCAGGTGTTTTGGCTTCCTTCCCGGCCCCCTTCCCTCTGGTGGAAAAGAGATTTGAAATGCAGGAGGACGGAAGAGAACGGAACAGAACAGCAGAGGATTAAACAGACAGGTGACGGCATTCATTCCATGGGGAATGACAGGATCGGATGCTTCGTCCACGAATCAGCAGCTTGCTGTTGCCCGCTGGTGCCGACTTGGAGATTGAATTTCGGATCGCGTGTTCGAGGAAGCTCGGACGGGAAGAGAGGCTACTTTAAGATGCGCAGATCTGGCCCGGGGTTTACCCCACCCTGCCCCACTTGATGATCTGACGGCGAGTGGACCTTGCTTAACACCACCATCTTCAATGAACAGTCGCTCTCACATCAAAGAAGGATGCAGCATCGTCTAACTTTTAGCCTATCATCTTTCTTTCTTTCTTTCTTTTTCTTTTTTCTTTCTTTCATGCTTGACTGGCATCAACAGGGGTGTCACACTCCGAAAGTGACCAGCTACTAGCCCTGAAGACGGGGTTAGCGGACGCAAGGTCCATCCTGGGCTAGACCTCGCGCTTTGCTAGGTGCATCATCACTTACCAGACGCACAAGCTCACCAAGCGGTCTCTCGCCCACCAAACAATCAAAGGATGGCTACAATAAATATCCCTCACCAAGACGTAAATCCGGCACATCGACCCCTCATGTCGTCTCCTACACCTCGGTCTGAGACTCTTGTCACTGCTCTCCATCCTTTGATAGTCTGCCTGCTGCTGCTGTTTCTACTTCCAGGCCTATTCTCCGATCATACCGCACAGATTGTGTGGGACACGTACCATCTCGACGCCTTCATAGCGCTCTGTGACACCTAGAGAACGCGGCTGTTGAGACCAGGAGTATAGCATATGGAAGATTCGTTAAGAATGGCTCCCAGTTCCGAAGAGTCGAGGTCGCCGGTAGAGGAGAAGCCTGTGGGCGCCCAGGTCGAGGCCGTACACACCAACGAGCGCGTACCTGGCCACCCTGCGTACTACGAGAAAGATGGATTGCGGACGTACGGCGATGATGAGGACCATGATCATGAACCACGGGTACGACAGCCCCCTCTGCCATTCATGTGGGACAGCTGCTGACAACTGGAACAGATGTCTTTCAGAAGGATGATGTCTTTGGTTGCTATGGCATTCCTCTGGACTGGCTCCCAAATCCCCGTCTATATCTTCGGTACAAACAACCTTTCATCATGTGATATGATAAGATCAGGACTGACAATGCGCTTAGGAGGCATACCACCCTTGATATACCGGTACTTCAATCCCACTGAATATACAACAAGCTGCTAACTCTTTTCTCTCCAGCGACATTGGTGGCACCGATCGATGGACCTGGTTTGTAAGTTTGGCAGCCATCCGGACTTGAGGCGAGCCTGAATACTGATCATGTGACAGGTCCTGGCCAATCTTCTAGCCTTGGCAGCAGTCTGCCCATTCGTTGGCTCCCTCTCCGATCTCATGGGCCGCCGATATGTCGCTATACTGGGTGGGTGCTTGATCATCCTTGGGATGATTGTGGCCTCGACTGCACACAGCATGAACGTCTTCATTGGTGAGCACGATGAATCTGACGAGAAAAGAGGAGCAAGCGCTCATAAATCTCCACAGGTGGCATGGCCATAGCAGGCGCTGGAGCTGGTATCAACGAACTCACAGCTCTCGCTGTGACCTCCGAACTCGCCCCCACCCGAAAGCGCGGAACCTACGTCGCAATTCTCATCTTCACAATCGTGCCCTTCTGCCCGTCCGTGCTATGGGCGCAACTGATCGCAGCACACGCGGGTTGGAGATACTGTGGTGTACTATGTGGTGTTTGGGCTGCTGTTGGACTCATCCTGACTATCATCTTCTACTTCCCACCACCCCGAGTCAACTCGCAAGGCTTGTCGAGGATGGAAGTCTTCAAACAGATCGATTTCGTGGGAGGTTTCCTTAGCATTTCCGGAATGTTGTTGTTCATGGCCGGGCTACAATGGGGAGGCTACCAGGTAAGTTGCGCCTGAGGTTCAGGAAAGAAGGAAGCGGAGATTTCTAAGACTGAGTCTAGTATTCCTGGAAAACCGCCCACGTCCTTGTCCCCCTGTTCCTGGGCGCCTTCCTACTTGTCGCCTTCGCCATCTGGGAAGCAAAATTCGCCAAATTCCCCATGTTTCCATTGCGCCTGAAGCAGAGTCCTCGAATTCTCGCTTTGACCCTCGTAATCACCTTCATCTCCGGCGCCAATTTCTTCTCCGTTCTCCTCTTCTGGCCTACACAAGCGTTCAACGTATACGGCCAAGATCCGGTCGGGGTGGGGGTTCGAGGACTACCCGTGGGATTTAGTATCTTAATTGGAGCTGTACTTGTGCTCTTCTTACTCAGTGCCCTCAGAGGTCATAACAGGGAATTGATGATTGTCAGCTCTATTGTCATGACAGCGGGTAAGTGTTACGCCTTCGTCCCGGTCTTCCGTTTGGTTCTCAATGACTGACCTGGAAATCCTTAGGCATCGGCGCTCTTGCTAGCTTGAAGGCTGATACGCTCTACCGAGCCTGGGGCCTCCTGGTCCTCGCCGGTCTCGGAATTGGGGGCATCGTCGTACCAGCTTCCATCATCACTACCATTATTTGCCCAGACGTACGTCCCATTCCTTTCCCACTCCCTTCCCCATCCCCCACATCACTAACACCACCTCAGGACCTCATCGCAACCGTCGCAGCCCTCACCCTCGCCGTCCGCGTCATCGGTGGCTCCATCGGCTACACCACCTACTACAACGTCTTCCTCTCCAAATTCGTCCCCAACGCCATCTACTATATCGGCGGCGCCATGGAGCTGGAACTCGGCATCACCAACCCTGAAGCCATTGAAACCGCCATCACCCTCACCAGCGCCTCTCTCCTCGAAGAAATAAAATTAATACCCGGTATCGCGGGTAATGACACGGCATGGGAGATTGTCGTGGGAGCGGGGCAGATCGCGTATGCGGAGAGCTACCGATGGGTGTATTTGGTCAGCATTGCGTTTGGCGGGGTGAGTGTGATTGCGGCGTGCTTTTTAGGCAATATCAACAAGTATATGGATGATCACGTGGCCGTCGTGATGTAGGGTGGAGGAGAAAGGGGTCCAGGGGGGATGAATCGTACAGAGAGAAAATTGTTGGCAAGTATGGAGTTGAGGAAGAGATAGTAAACAGAAAGAAGGAGATATCTAATGTGACGAATGGTGAACACCCAAAACAGAAAAAGACCTGTCTCTGTTTTGACTCCTCGGTGATGAGTGCCGGACATTTCACCTTCCAGTAACGCGGCCAGATGCCAGGTAAGTTGTCAACGAAGAATACCAATTCCCAGAATTCTCGTCTTCCAAATTCCAAACCCTGACACCCTTTTCCCATATCAACCAAAACGACTCGACCATTCACGCCCAAGTCTACCATTTCAACGCCTATCCGGGACAGAACACCCCCCACTCCTTCCCACCCAGTCGACGGACGACATCTTCAGTCCTCTTCCCCGCTCGCCCCCAAGCCAGCGCGTCCGGGACCCAGTCACGTCAGATCTTCAGCCCGCAGCCTACCACCCCATCTGCTCTCCACAGAGCACAGCTCTCTGCTCCACGATACCGAGAAGAAGGCAGGGGTCAATCCTTCCCTTTCAGCCATCTGACCGTATCTACATGCCACGTCTCCGCGATATTAAAACGTCGGCCAGTCCGTCAAGACAGCAATCCCACAAGCCAAGTCCGTCCGTCCTCCATCCCTCCCCGCCTTCTCCTCCCTCCTCCTCCGCCGCAACCCGCCCGCCCACGTAAGACAGACGGAACGGCGCTAGCATACTCAACCTTTTTTGAAAAACCACACACGGCAGACAGTCGCCCAAGTGCCATCACCGCACGAAGCGTCCAAGCTGTGCGTCAGCTTGGTACCTTCGCGGTCCCATCGTCTAAACATTAATCAATCAATCAATCGATCCATCACTTCCTGCAGTGCGGTGCGGCCGGACTCATCCATCGCCAACGCCATCGCCAACGCCCACGCAAGGCATCCGCACCCCGGAGCAGAGCAGGGGCTTCGATCTCTGACTTCCGATCCGATCACAGCGCGCGCGCTCTTCGGAGGACGGCCGGGTCTGAATCAAGATACGCATAGCGGCGCTCATCGGGTTTTTGAAGAAGAAGAAGAAGAAGAAAATCAGACCCTTTTGGAGACACGGGGCTCATGAGGTGGGCTTCGGTCTCGAGAGGTGGTTGATTGATTGATACGGACGACACGGAGCGCCGATCCTGTGGACTCGCGGTTGTGGAGGGAGGTGGAGAGGGTGTGTTACGTACTCTACGGCGTGAAACGATGCCAGGGATTCTGATGGGGTGAGGCGTTTGGTGGATGGAGGCCGCGGGCTGAGAGTGTAGCACGGTTGTCGGAAAGGTTGCCACTCGGGACGGAGTGGGGATGGGCATAGGCCCGAGGCGGCGTGCACTCACGTTTCGGGGTTTTGGAAGTAGCTTGCCCAAAGACTATGGTGGTTCTACCATAACGACGAGATAGACGGCCGTTCTTTCAGAGGCGGTATCGTCTGAAAGATCATTCGTATCTGTACAGACGAGCCAGTCAATAGTGACAGTGTGGGTTTACAAGTATTTGTATAAGCACCAAGGCTCAAAGAAAAGGGTGCGACCACGGGTATCTCTCATCCCAATCAACGCCATATATTCAATGCGTAAATCTTCTTAAAAAAATGCTTCGATCGTTTCTCCACTGCCGTCGGCTCACCCACTCATCTTCCTTCACTTGCCCCTGCTCTGGGTTCTCGGTCGCAGATTCCTTGCTAAACTCTCATAGGCAACGTCTTCCCACCCCTCCTCTTTCCATCCAAGTTGCTCTTGCTCATCAGCGCCTTCATCACCTGTCACAGTGACTGCAGGACTGCCCGCTAGACTTTCATCCTTAGATCGAACTCCTTCACGGGCTGATTCTGGCTCTGCTACTGAGGGTGGGAGTGGCATGGTGGTATAATTTGTGCAGACGCAGCCGCATCCTGAAGGGCACTCATCGAAGGAGGCCTGCAAGAGGAGCTGGCGGCATGGAGCGTGAAGGACGTGGCCGCAATTAGGGCACGGAGAGGAAAGACCTCGGATGAAGGTGTTGCATAGCAGACAGAGAGGAGCCGGTGGTAGCTTTGAGCAGGCTTGGCAGCGGCGAGAGGGTGTTTGAGAGGGTAGAAGCAGCGTCGAGCAGGAAGGGCAGTGGTCTCTGAAGACTGGATTCGAGTTCTCGGTATTGTAGCCGGAGTTGAGGAGGTTTGCGCCTGCTATGGCGCCGAATGGGGCTGTGGCTTTTGGGGCGAAGGTGAAGGGTGGCGATGTGTCTGGTTGCAAGGGACGGTTATGGTTCAGTACCTCGGCTCTATCGATGGGCATATCCCAGATGTAGAGTAGATGCGCGTATGCCTCTCTGTATGCACGGTAGCGCCATTTTTTGCTTGGATCCAGCAAAGGAACGTTCGCATAGCCATCATTGTGAAATTGGTCTTGGTTCTTCAGCTTGGTCTTGAAGACAGGCTTCTTCGGTATAGGAACGGCATTCTCCTCTGTATCTGAAACGGACAACGAGAAGGAGGATTTGGGGTCTTCCGTGATGGTGGATGATCTACCCAAAAGGCCAGACGTATTCCAAATGACCGTAGAAGCAGGATTTCCGAGGTAGCTTCCGACTGGACTTGAACGCTTCTTGGGATACGAGTTGGGCGGTGAGGAAGCTGCGGAACCGAAAGAAAAAGGAAGGGAGAAAGACGCGAATGCGCTGAGATTCGAGTTTGAGCGATGGGTATTGCGATAAAGCTCCGGTGAGGTAGACAGACTTGTTGACTGTGAGTTTTTATGTTCAGGGCTTGTACGAGAATGCTTGTAATGGGATGGAGGCGTTCCACTTGTGCAGAGATCGCTCAATGGGCCGATGGAGGAATTTGCAGAATGTGGCCCGGTAACCAATTTTTGAGAGTCGACTGGGATAGACGGTTCCGATGGCAAGAAAAGTCTGAAATGGTTTCTTGCAACTTGTTCAGATGGGTAGTAACCATTCGCGAAACTTCGATGGCCATGTGTATTACTATCTGGCCCGAGCCCAAAACTGTTTCTACCAACGCTCTGAATGAGGGTTTGCGGTTCATCAAGGATACATGCAAGCATTGCCAGCATCTGTACGTCCGCCAGCTGTTCGAAATGTCGGAATCTGCAATGGTCAATGTCTGATAAAAGCGAATGGCGATGTCCAATAGTGCCGCTTACAATGAGTCTACAAACCACCGGCTTCCCAACGGATGGTTGCCCCACTTCACAGATCCTCGCAGACTCGGTTGTTTGTCCTCTTGGGCCGCATCGAACGACAAATCGATTGCGCTGTCCCTTGGCTTGAGACGGGACGCAGCACGACGTGCGATTACCATGACGGGTGCGTCGCTCCCAGGAATGACCTTTGATTCGAGAGGCACCTTCTCTTGGATGATCAGCTCGACAAACGACCAAACGTCGGCCAGATCTAGATCTCCGCTTTCTCTGGCGATTCGTGAATTGTGAGCGCAGCAATTGGATCCGCCGTGGATGGTATACGCCTGAGCAAGATGCTTCTTTACTGGGAGAAGTTGCGTAACATCGTGTATTGCAACGTAGTTGCCGGACATCGTCACCGTGGACTTGGCAAATCCAGTGTCGCCGCTCGATTTCTGCGAATCATCAACAGCTGGCCCTTGATGGGCCTCGAACATATCCCCACGCCATGCCATACTCGGCATGAAATGATGACGAGGCAAGCCCATGTTGTCTGAGGATGATGATGATGATGAGCTGGACGAGAATGCAGAAGAGTATTCCGGATCGGAGTCGCCGCTCTCAATAGTCTCGAGTGTTGAGGCTCCTCGCTTTTGCCGAGCCGAATCATTGTGAAGTCGGCCGAAGTCCTCAAAGATATTCTTGCGACTCCCAGAGGATCGGTCACTAGCCTTGATACTCAAGTCCAGTAGCGAGGATTCTTTTTCCTCTTTTGGCGGGAAGAAGCAGACCAAGCGTCCATCCTCGGCCCAGAGTGCTCCACAGGCTTTGGGTAGTGGGACGTTGTATTGAGCATTCGAGACAGCAATCATCGGGTCACTTGCTTCCATGCTCTCATCTTGTCCTCCTGCGTACCTACCGAGGCCTTCATCCTCCTCGTCACTGGAGCTCAAGTCCAAGTCTTGGGCGGACTCAAGATCCACGCTCTCTTGGCGCTTTTTCAGCCAAAGCAGGCTCTCTTCAAGATTCCGTTCGCCTAAAAGGTACCATAGCATTGCTTCCAACGAACTTCTTTGCTGGGCCATGAAGCTTGAAGCAATCGATTTGGCATCCATATAGATCTGGTTAGCTGTTTCGCCGCTGAGGGATGCTGTTTGCTCCAGGGTGAGGGAGGGCGCCGCGGCAGCCGGATAGTTGGTCGGAAAATCGATGCGAGCCTTGAGGTATGTGGAGCTCCTCTCAGATCCCCATGGCCCAGAGAGAGAAACCTGAATCCTGCGGCGCTGCATATCGATCTTACACACGTAGAATCAGCATTGGTCAGTAGGGAAATTGCTGGGATGCTGTTTCATACCTCATCGAACTTGACCTTTGTAAATTTGTCTCCCACGTGAGTGATCTCTTCTCCCAAAGATTCAATAACATCCCACGTTGGATCTGTCTTCAGGCTCGGCGAAAATATGGTAGATACGCTCTGATGCATTCCAGACGGTGAGGGCTCACGTTTCCCGATTTTGACACCTCGCATCCATGAAATTGGGTCCATTTCTTTCGAGGCTCCCGTCCTTTGTCCAATCATTGGACTCATAGAATCCCCATTTCCATATCCTCCAATGAACGGGACAGGGGCTCTGCTCATACCAATAGTAGGCGCAGATCCCATTCCGGGCACTCCAGCACCATTGAAAGGGCCATCGCCTCCCAACGTGTTTCCTTCAGTCTTCGATGGATCTTCCCGGAAGGTCTTGTAGATCGCATTCTTGCGGGTAATGTTTATTCTTCGTCCCACCTGCATACCTTTTTTATACCCAACATTGCCCAGGATTTCCTCGCCCACCTTTTGCAAGCGCAATATACGATCAGTACCCCAGGAAACAAGCTGGAATTCTCGATCGTCAATGCTCTCTGTGACATTGCCCCTGGGTCTCCACAGGAACTCCTTGACTTGGTCATCATGACCATCGAACCTGTGTACTGCGGTCACTGTATGCTCATCGTCTTTGACCGCGTCAACGCGGCGGTCATAGAGATGGAGATCATGGTCTCCTCGCTGCGGCATCGCTAGAAGACCAAATCCGAACGGAGTATGTCGTGCTCTCCACACCGGAAACGGTGTGTGTAGAACACGATCTGGCTCATCTTTGTCTTTCATATAGTTCCAGAACTTGATAGTCCTATCTAACGAGCAGGTCACAAGATTACTGGTCTCCGTCCTGCTCCAATCTACTCCGTAGATTTTCGTGGCATGGGCTTCGATTGATCGCAGTGGAAAGGCACCTTTTCGATCATCCCAGATGCGAAGAAATTTGTCATGGGAGGAAGCCAAAATGTGAGGATTCTGCCGATTCCACTTGACTTGGGTTGCGCCGGCAAACCAATCGCAGAATGTCATTGCAGGTTTGGACGGATGGCGAAGGTCCCAGCAGTGGACAAAGCTATCAACAGCGCAGGTTGCAAGAATGTCAGGATAGTGAGCAGAGAAGTTGATGTCTGTGATAGCACGTGAATGTCCGTGTAAGACATGCTCGACCGAAGATTGGGCACTGGCCAACGCCAAATTCCATACAAGAGCTCTCTGATTCGACGTACTGACAACCCAGTAATCCCGGGCAGCGAATGGAGACCACTGGACATCGGCTACTTCCCATGGTGTATGATGGGCGAGGTGTTGAGGAGGAGACCAGGGCGAGTCGAGGTCGATGATGTGTAGACCTTGGCGCGAGGCCAGAACTACGTCTCTACCGCATGGCGAGATGGAAGCAGAACCGACGGGCTTGTCTAAGCTGAACGAGCCATCTTGGCCGAACGTTGGGCTGTCAAAAGCTGATGCTAGGCCCTTTAGGCCCTCGAATTTTGCCATAGTAGTATCAAGTTTTCCCGCTCGAGCGAGAACCGGCCTTCACCGGCAGAGAAAGACCATAGACTCTGTTGTAGTATAAACAAAGATGCGAACGCCCAGTCTTCCAGACATTGAAGTCCTATAGCTAGGAACTTAAAATCTTCGGACTGAGTCATAAATGAGAGGTAGTAGTTTCAAGGCAAATGAGAAGAATATATTTCCAGTCACAGAAGAGGAATAACATGATGACAGAAAGCAAAGACCTCCCCACCCTCCCAAAAGCCGATATTCCAGGTGTTGGAAGTACGATTTAGGAGACAGAACATTCCCCCTTCATCCACCTTGAAGGCGAGCCTCGATCCTCAACATTGGTGATGATTGAGAGCGCGATTTGCGCTAACTGTATTTATGTTAGCGCCTTGGAATTAGATGCCAAGAAATCTCCCATGAGGTAGCCTCACCAGCGATTCACCACATGATTAACCGGTACATCTCGCAGCTCTTTGCTTGTGGGGTTTCTCTACATACTGATAGTGCCTTTCTCGAAGAGCTCATGGCCATCGACCCCGTCGCTAGCCTCGTTCTCCAATAGGATCAGGAAACCCTTTCTCCGCTCCCTCTCATACTCTGCCCATCCGTCATAGATCCCGATTCAACAGCTGCAGCGCTAGACAGAGCTTTATTGAGTGTTCATTGCATGATACACGGTATAAGCAAACCTTGGTAGCCATCATGGCTGCTCTACCAAAGCGCATAATTAAAGAGACGGAGCGCCTTATGGCAGAACCGCATGTCTCCCTCGCTCATGCCCAAACAACTCAATAACAAGGCCCGGCTGACCTTTCTGAATGCTAGTGTGCCTGGTATCAGCGCTGTTCCCCACGAAGACAATCTCAGATACTTCGACGTTAAGATCCACGGCCCTTCTCAGTCACCATATGAAGGTCAGTCTGAGCTTACATTGGGGCGTCGGATCGAGGCAGTGGCTTATGGCTCTCAGCGGGTATCTTCAAGCTTGAGCTCTTTCTACCAGACGACTATCCTATGACTCCCCCCAAGATCAGGTTCCTCACCAAGATCTACCACCCGAATATCGACAAGCTGGGCCGCATCTGTTTAGATGTTTTGAAGAGTATACTGCAATTCTGGTCCTCAGCTCATTGGCCATGGCTAAAAAGAACAGGCAACTGGTCCCCAGCCCTCCAAATCCGTACAATCCTCCTCTCAATACAAGCTCTGCTTGGCGCACCAAACCCAGATGATCCATTAGCGAATGATGTGGCACAACGATGGAAGGAGGATGAGCCTGCGGCTATACAGACGGCAAGAGAATGGACTCGGCAGTATGCAAAAGCTTAGGGGAAGCGTTTCTGGTTGACTTTCATAGACATTATGATGGTGTGATGAATTGATATGAGGCTATGGCATTAAGGGCTCCAGGTAGACGCCTTTCTTTGACGCGTCTTTAATGCGGTATGCAATGTAGTACAGTGGGCCATGCATAAGTTGAGCCGAAGTAGCGATGCAAGCTGCCGTCTCTCATTCCGCATAATTCTCTGCATCCTCACTTTGCTGTGAAGCTGGCCCCCTCTTTGTCTGTTGCTGGATATACCCCCCAACCTGTGTTGAGCTCCAGCTCTACTACCTATCTATCCGTAGTTGTCCTATAAAGCAGCTTGACTGTCTATACTGATGTACTAAAGGGCTTTCGTTGGAGCTGTACCCTTCACTGACAGAGACGTTGCCTCCGTCATGATGAGCGTCATGATGGATGGCCCTTGGGCAACAGTACCCACGATCACCGTCAACTGAGATTTCAACCAAAACAAACCACAACCAACCGCGCCCACCTAAACCGGCACATCATCGATATGGCACCGACGGTTACGCACTATCGGGATCATCACAAGATGATCAAAGCAATCGAAAAGTGCTCACTCCAAGCAACATTTGGTCCAGAAATCACATCCACCGGAGAGCTCTTGCCTAAAGAATACAATGTTTCTTCAGTCAAAGCAAGTCATGACAGTGATTTCAATCCTGTCGAAAAGCGTACGCGTTTCAACAAGATATCTTTTTTTTCAGCTAGACCTCGTATCAAGGCGGGTCTCTTGCCCATGGATCCGATTGATGAGGGTGACAACATCGGTCCTGATCTCATGACGAATGATGGTAGTATGCCTATCGTTTTGACCAACCAGGATGGCAACATTCCTTCAAAATGGTCCACAAACTGTGGCAGTATGGCCCCCATTTCGACCCGTGAGGATGGCGTGGCACCATTCCGCCAGAGCAACTTCTTTGGGCGGGTACCCCTGGAGATATGGGGCCAGAAGGTAAGTTACCATGCATGCGCTTCTTCATCCCTCAGCTTTGCTAACACTCTCCCCGTCGTTAGATTGAAGAGCTTCGCCAGTGGACCGGCACGCATAAAATCTATCGCGACATCCATGACTTATCTTACTCAAATCACAAGCATCCAAATCACGACCGGGTGTGGGACTCAAAGAACCTTTTCTGCATCGGCTGTACCAAGGACACTATGAAGAGATGCGAAACTTGTGGGAGATACTGCTGTCTCTGGTCAATATGCAAGGAGATAGCCGGCGCATCCAAAGCTGGGATCCTGCCACAGGAACGAGTCAATGCAACTCAGTGGCTGAAAAAGATCGCCGGCCTCATGTCCTACGGTATCGATGAACCCACGTTCTTGGCATGCTCTCGGTGCGGGAAAGTTCACTGTCCAAAGTGCACCAGTATTTGTGAGATATGCGATGGTCTTTCTTGCCCTGACTGCTGCGGCCGCTGCCCTATCTGCCGGGTCCCTAAGTGCGTCCGTTGCAAACCCAACCGGGAGGAGGAATGCTCGTATCACACGGGCCCGCCAGCGATTTGAATGGGGCAATACTATCGATGTTGTTGGTGCGAAGACTGGATCATACCAATGCTGTCGAGACAATACATGACAAGGTCTTATGTCTCTACATCATCAAAACGATCCGAGTTGCATTAGGGCAGCGGATTGAACAGATGGAAGAGGATCGATCTAGGTGATGGTTTGGGGAGACAGAAGGGATTATGTCGATGTCATCGAGACATTGCAGATTGTTGCTCTAAAACTTTGACATCATAACGAGCGTATCTAAGTGACGTTCTCCCTGTTCAGCAGCGATCAGATCACATCTGTAGACATTAGTAGTACAGCAAGAACGAGACGAAATCTCCCACTCTCGCCTCGCTTCACTTCAGCCCTACAGTCACCTGACCCACACTAGCCGCCGTAATCGCGAACACCATCTCGAAAAGTCCAGCAGGACATCATCCCCTTCTGCAACAAACAGGTTACGTATCACTGACCGCCATCATGCGTACCTACGACGACACTTTCAGCGGTCAGAAGATCTACCCCGGAAAGGTATGCCTCTGTCCCATCCTGTCTGCTCGGCTTTTCGCAGACACCCCTCCGAGTAGCAGCAGCGGAATCTCATCTCTACATGGGGTAGGGGACTGAGAGGGAACAACGGCTGACTTGTGTGTTTTAATCTAGGGCAAGCTTTACATCCGCGGCGACAGCAAAATCTTCCGCTTCCAGAACGGCAAAACCGAATCCCTCTTCCTGCAGCGCAAGAACCCTCGTCGTATTGCATGGACCGTGCTGTTCCGGAGGCAGCATAAGAAGGGTATCACAGAGGTGAGCTCAAGCTGATTTGGCTTCTATGACATGACATTGCCTGTGGTGGGAGATGCCGAGGGTTGCTGGTTACACTAGAGATGTCTCAAGCAGAGCGTTCCATCGTGGCTTCTTAGTCTTCCATTCAATTTCCATCGGCACCCCTCTTCTATACTCCCAACTCACTTGCTCCTCTGCTCAAGTCGCTAAATATCCTACCATCCTGCAGGAAACCTCCAAAAAGCGCACCCGCCGCACCGTAAAGCAACAACGAGGCATCGTCGGCGCTCCCCTCGAACTCATCAAAGACCGCCGCTCGCAACGTCCCGAGGCCCGCGAGGCAGCACGTAAGGAGGCAATCGCGAAGGGCAAGGAGAAGAAGGCAACAGCTGAGAGCAAGAAGAAGGCTGAGAAGGCGAAGAGTGCGGCTGGAGCGGCGAGGGGGCAGCCGGGGAGGATTCAGAGCAAGATGGGGTCGAAGGGTGTGCCGAATAAGGCGTCCGGAAAGACTCGTTGAGCTAGTGACGGGTCGTGAGGTTGGAAGATGAGTGGAGCGTGGTTTGCGGCTAAGGTCATGGCCGAAAGCTGCCATGGTTGAGAGCTGGAGCTAGGTTCATGATATCAAGCATGTTGCGTCAATAAAAAAGATCAATGCCGTGCCGTGGAACATCTGCAGTACTGGGTTTGGCGCTGTACTATCTCTTCTGTCTCAGCTTATTCTCAGTGTCTTCGCCATCACATACCACAGCAATTCAACGTGACACTTCTGGGGCTGGTTACCCCTGAACAGGGTTCTCATACACATTTCAGTTGGTTTTCGAGCGGCTTGAGATCTGACTCGGGTCCTGCGTAAAACGGTATACGGCAGGAGATAGAGGTAAGGCAAGAGAGAACAATCGCAGGACGGGCGACTTCGGCAGGTAATACAAATGGTTCCCAATTGGTGTTGAGGGAACGTAAAAGCGCTGAGAGCCGCTTCTGATGCTCCTCCAGCCGCATGATGGGGGTAATGAGGCCATGATTTGGCAGTTTCAAGGGATTCCTGAGATCGACTCTAGTAAGACACCGAGCGTACCCCATCATCACTGACAATCAGCACTGCAATTTCCATCTCTCATCAGCGCAGGTTTACCGGCCTCTCTCCTACGCAATAGAGCATCTTCAAGGAATGAAGATCAGAGGATGATTCACTCTACAGAATGAGCAGTTGACTTTGCGGTATTCTTTATCAACGAAATAAACATGGGACGTGGATAAATAGAGGTCGCTGTCTAATTTTCGGATCTCTTCTATATCATATTGTCTAAAAAAGTCAATGAAAACTGAAGAAAAAAAGTTTCAATGTTCAGACCGGATGCACAAAGAAAGAAGTGACAGTCGTTCTATGCACAAGCTAGGTTGATGCCGCCGCTGTCGTTAGTTACCAGTCCAACAACTTGAAGGAGCAAGTAAAAAATGCAAGGTTCTTTAGCATCAAGTGAGAGAGTGGGTCGTCCTCTCTAGGTAGCAGACGATGCTCTAAGCCCATGAAGCGGCCGCATAGAAGAACATTGCCTTTCAAAGAATACCCTATAGTGGTAGAGACCATCCAGTTTGGCCGCTCAGCACGAAACCCGCTAGAAACAGAATACCAAAGAAACAAATGGCAAGTGGTCTGTCACATAGGCACTATGAACATAGTAGTGCTTCAGCTCGCGTGTACAACAGTATGGTAGTCGGAAAGAACGTTGCGGGCAACGCTTGCCTTGGCATTCTCTCCAGAAACTATCGCCCAAGTTGGCTTGGTCTGCTTTGGCTTTTCCAACGACATCTCTTCCTCCGTCTCTTATCATTCGAGATGACTTGCATTTCACCACTTTCTCTGAGCCGTGTCCCAAGCCTTCGAGTCGCACACCAAACGGGCTTCTCACGCATCACAGCCTCATTGAGAAAATCAAAGGCTATTTGCACGTCTCACGGCTTGCCTTCTCTAAGCCTCCACCAGATAATTGTCCTGTGATACCTTTCTTTCACTTGCGATGAAACATTCACCACACGTGCTTCGAGACCTGCTCTATGTTTTGTTTTTTTAATCCCCTCGAAGTGTTTTGGCCGGAAAAAAAGAAATCTCAATATCGTTTGCGTGATATTCAAGTCGCTAGCCTGCTTCTGAAGCTTCTGCCAACCACTGTGCTTTGTCCTTGTGGAAATGATGACTTGCGTAATGCGCTTACGCGCTCTTTTATTCAAACCAAGTCCTTGCTGCCAGCCGGAGGGTACCATGGTCTGAGCCTTGTTGCAAATTACGCGAGAATTCGAGAGAGCAAAAAAGAAAAAAAGGAAGATAAGAGAAGAAGAAAAAGGCTGGAGTCGAACTGAGGAGAAACAATAGGAAATCCACACAAGGCAGGTTCAGGCTGCCAATCTCACGCTATGCGTTTGTGAAATTGGACTGGTTGGGGCCTTTCTGCGCTTGCATGGCAAACCTAGAGCTATGGAATGGGTATTATTGAATGGGACTGGGCTAACGTTAAATCTTGGGATTTACTCCGCCGGGCTATGTACTCTCGGCCAAACTTTCTCATGGATGGGGAAACTATAAAATAACAGTTATACCCAGCGCTCGTCAGAATTCAGCCAATCAGAGTCCGCGCTAGCGCAACTTCTCAAAGTCGTTCCTCTCGTTGCGTCCAACTTCAAAGCTGCACAACCAGTCACCCAACTCTCAAAATCGGTATTATGCCTCATCCGAAGCCATCGAAGGCGATGAAGCAGGAGGATCGATCCCGTCGAAAGATGAACAAAGATCTCGAGACCTTGATCGGACCTCAGTCACAGGCCAAGAGTCAGTGGAATGCCCAAGGCCTGTTTCATTTGGAGCGGCACACAGTGACCGGTAACAGGCCAAAAGTTCCTCGAATACGAGAGACGAACCCTCATGAATTCTCGCCACAAGTGACTCGATGCCCTCCTGCAGACAGCCGACCGCTGCGGCCTGTGCGACGCCTCTGCCCACCATTTACGTTGTCTCTACGGCAAGAATGTGCCGGAGGACGATAATTTGGGCATCCTACATCTGCTACGACCAGATGCTCGGGCTATTCACGAGCGTTCCTTGAGAGAGGAAGAGGCCCAGAAGGATGAGAAGGGTGGGTTCCTGGCCAGACTGTGGCGATGATCTGGGTGATGGAGATAACGCTGGGGCTATTGGCGGAGAAGTGGGAGACGGTGAGGGGAGAGAGGAAGAGGCTAATTACGGGGATATGGAGACGGATAGAGAGGATGGTGGAGTGGCTTTGGCAACAGATGGATGAGCGTGCAGACGATTTCGGGCCGTCAACGCGCCACAAAGCCAGATTACATGAATATGAGAGCGGTATGAGATTCTGAATGTACCATGAATTTATTGCAAAGCAAGGGTGATATGATTGATACTGAGCTACAACTTGCTGCTCAGAGCAGCCTGCTCCAAGGAGGCCTTGAACTCCGTTAATCCTGGCTCGGTCCTCCAAACAGTATCCATGAGAAACACTCTACGGCTCTTCTCCTCTGCACGTCTCTATCCCCACGCACAAAGGAGACCACAGCTTGAATCAAGGCGCCTCCGCCATCTCAACATCCTTCCCCTCCCCATCGCCCCAGAACCCCTCATCGTCATCCTCTTCCTCCTCCTCCTCACACCACCCATCCTCAAACTCACTCAGATCACTCTCGCCCACCGTCCCCACCCCCGGCGTCCCCTCCCCCTCCATCTTCATCTCAATCAACGCCTCCACCTTGCCGTGATCGGTGCCCCACACCGCCTCCCCCAGCCCCTTGCCCCACTGCAGATCCGTGCCGAACTCGTGCTCGCACAGCCGGACCGCCTGCCAGGCGTGCCGGGACAGGGTGCGCGCGGAGGGGTGGCCGCCGTACTTCGCGCTGCCGTAGTAGGCCATGAGTTCTGTGGCGACGGAGTCGACGATGCGGTGGGCGCGGCGGAGGGAGTGGACCCAGATGCGGATGTTCTTCAAGCGGTGGGCTTTGGCGCGGTCGTAGGCGGTCCAGTCCATGCCTTTGGCTGCTGGGTGGGTATCGGGTCGGGGTGGCTCTGATGTGAGAGGGGGAGGATGGGACGGTTTGCCTGTGTGGTTATTCTTCTGAGACATTGCATCTTTCTTCTTGTTTATTAGCGAGCTGCTTGATACTTGTGAAGCCTTGGGTAGCTGCGTTGCGTGAGGAGGTGGCTTCTGAACCACGAGCTTCTCAATCTGTTTGGGCGGTTTGCCAGAGACTTTTGGTGCTTTGGACTGTTGTGTTGAATGATGAGTACGCTTGTGGGCTTTGTACCTTGAGTAGCTTGAGGCTTGTGGAGCTCGGGAACGCAGATGTGGATGGTGAATGAGCTTGGGAGCTTTGTGCCTTGAGCTAGCTGACAGGTCAGAGATGCGATGCTGTCGATGGTTATGAGTCGCCTGTCTGAGAAGCCCGAGACGTGGACGACGCGGACCAATCGTGGTGTCATTTGGCCACGATAGCGGTGGACCGTGGGATAGGATCCCCTTACGCGTTCGAAGAAGCTTAGTGACAGCCATGGTGAAGTGTATCTTATGTGGTGACTTTGTTAAGGATGACGAAATTTCGGGGAAGATGCTGAACGAAAGTTGGGAAGTGAATGACGACGTCACGGCCAAGACAAAGGTGTTGAAAGGCTCATTGTGTGGACAATGCCATTGTGCAGTGGTATTTGGAATGAGGCCCACATTCCAGAGCTCTGGAGAATTTATTGAGAAACAAGGCTTGAAACGCTTTGGACAGGAAGAACATCTAGTATGTGAAGTAGCACACACATGGTTGACTTTTGCGTTTTGATATTCCAAACAGTAATAATAAATCCTTGTCAACATCAATACTTTTGTCCTTTGAATATCACTTGTGGCTATCACAGATCCTGTGACCCGGAATACCCTTGGAGGACAGATTTTTCCGAAAGCAGCGACTGAGCAACAGCACATCAATTTATCTTCATCATACCAAGCATTCCACCCCGAACGATCTCCTGCGACAATATGCCCACCTGATTGTCTACTCCATCGTTGATGTAGTCTTCCAGTCCTTTACAGAACTTGGAAGGGTGACCATCGAGGCCCAAACACATGATTTATCAGGACCATGAAATGTAGGTTGTGCAGACCAGCAAGAGATTTCTCAAGGTCCTTGGCTGTCTCCGTACAATCCAGAAAGACAAGCCTTTGTTTTCGACAACGATATATTCTTGTTCAGCCACTTCTCGACCAGCAACGACTTCGGCCGATCCCGATCATGTAGGATGACATTGAAGCCGTAGTCACAAAGCGCTTGTGCACAGCCCCTACCAAGATCATCCGAGGCTCCAGTGACAAGAGCCCCTGCAGAAGTCATGATTTGGGTGGAGGTATCGAGGGAGGCATGAGAGACGTGGTGAATGAGTTCTAGAGGAGATAGAGAGTGGTAGAAATGCTGATGCAATGCATCAAGTCTCCAAAGGTCATCTTAGCTTCCCATCTACATTTGATGCTAAACGTCAGAAGAAGCAGCTTGTATTTTCCAATAGAAAACGATGCTGTCTCTCGAGCAGCACCTGACAACCACGCCTGTATTGGCTTTTCCGTGTCACAGCTGAAGGAAAGGTCAGGATTGTGACAGCTTCATGATGAAAGCTGTCTGTTATTCTATGGAGTTGTGCCAAGGATATAGGGCTGAGACGCTGAAACCCCACCCTGTGGACTTTAGCTAGAGTACCTTAACTGCTGCCACTTCTGGATTCCGTCGCCCGGGGATATCGCAATCTCCAATCCCTAGCATAATCTATAGCTAGGTAATGCTAACAGCGAGCCGGATATATGGACACTGTTGAATATCGATAGATTTTGTTTTGTCCACATGATTTGATCCTACCCGAAATATGGATGCTGTCGCGAGCCTGAGTGTCGCACGACCTCGACGGGCCACCCGTTTTCAAAGATCGACGCTGGGGATGTCTAGGAACCCGGTTATAAATATCGGCCGCCAGATCGCCAGATCGGAGCATTTTGGCCTCGGGCGGCCAACCAGGGGCGCCAGGGATGTTGGTCATTTGAAATACGCCAGCCACTGTTCGGCACGCCTGGTAGAGAATTCAGTGGGTAATTAGGTATATTGAATGTAAGGTATGTACTCTAAGAGTGTCCAATCATGTCGCAGGAGGCAGATATTCTGTGACTACTCGCTACTCGTCACGCGTCGAGAACCTGCAGCCTGCTGACCGAAGGGCAGAATCTCGGTGCATCTCGGCACTCGTAGCACAATGAACCATACTAATTTGCATGATCTGCGTTGGATTTGATAAGCTTCCCCTGTCCTAGCTTGAGGCGTAATCTCCGATCATTCCAGACTCTTGCCTCCCACAGTCCCACAACGTGTCCGGCCCCACGCTTAGGAGAGACTGATTCACTGACAGCGTGGAGGTGAGCATGGACCATGGATGATGACATGAAAGGTCTTGAAGGATAGACAAGGGAGAGAAAGTCTGTAAAGATCTGTTGGCCTGTGAGCCCAACGCGACATCCGCTGCCGCCTTCTGAGCCGTTCCAGCGACTTCCTCTCAAACAGAAGGCTGTCCTCGCTACTAACATGCATGCATGGGTACATTACCCAAGGTACTAGTACCTCACGAATGATCAAGTGTTCCATTCTCCTAGTCTTCCCGTTGGCACACGCTTGTTCCTGTCCATCGCTCGACACGGGATTGTTCCTCTGTGAGATACCTACCTTACGGTACTCCTATTAACTCAACGTATCACAGGCTGACGCTTCCTACAAAACAAGCCAGATCCCTCTCGTGAGTGGATGAGATTGATTATGACATTAATTTCGTAGCTCTCCTACCGCCGTGAAAAAGCAGTTGAGTGCAGTGCGTGGCGGTTTCTTTACATTGATGCATGCTGTAGCCGTGCATCCAAAAACGCTGACCGAGATCCACAATCTCCAACGTCAACTTTGACTTTCCTTCCAAAATCAGCCTCGGTGCCGCGAGAATTCCTCCCTCCATCTCTACTCCATTGCTCTTACAGTCTTCTGCCCATCCCAAAAACTGCTCGTCTTGAAATCCTCATACACACTCTCCACCATCGCCAGCCAATATGGTCTATTCTCTCACTTACCGTCGTCCCCCATATGTCGACTCCGCTCGGGCTTCCGTCCTCGGGCACGAGAAGACCAAATCCATTGGAGAAGCGTCCATCGATTCCCAGGCCTCTGGAGGTTCTGGAGGAATGTCCTTTGGTATCCCCGATGCCTTGTCCTTTGACCGCATCATCACTGGAGGCACTTGCCCGGTAAGTTGACTTCCTGTCTTGGTCCATCCATGCAACCCAGGCTTCAACTTCACCCTGCTATATCAGCAGGACACTGAAGCTAGCAATTGATCAACATCTACTCTGCACATCCACTGGTATTCCCGATATCTGAATCAATGTGATCTGCTTGGCTGATCCAAATGCCTTCTAGCCATGCACAGCACGCGATTTCATGAACTACCTCGTCTACATTGAACACTCCGCCGAGAACCTCCAATTCTACCTCTGGTACCGTGACTACCTCAAGCGTTTCAACGAGCTTCCATCAAACGAGCGTGCTCTTGCACCAGAATGGTCCGCAGAACAGGCGGAGATAGATGCACAGGCAAATCAGGGAACACCAGGACCCAAGCAGCAAATCAGTGCTGAGACTGCAGCTGTGTTCAAAGGCACAGATTTCGCTCCCCCTACTGCAAGTGTGGTGGAGGTGAAGGGCAACCCTTTCAATACGCCACCAAGAACCCCAAATGGCGGAGAATACAGAGAAAGTTTAGCTCCATCCGAGCGTGCGTGGAGCGAGAACTGCTCCACCTTGAACTCCAACACCAACAGATCGTTCCAGACAAAGACTGCAGGTGCTTTTCAAGGAGCTGACCTCAAATGGCAACCATGTGAGCACTCATTTTTCTTTACGAAGCAAGTATACGCTAATGTGTGGGCAGTCACGATCCAGCCGTTCCGAGAGGAAATCTCACGCATCATTGCAATCTACATAGCCGATGGTGCACCTCGCCAGCTGAACCTCTCAGCGAAGGAACGGATGACTCTACTGCACGCCTTGGCTAACACCACTCACCCCACAGCCTTTCGAGTTGTCGTCCAC